CTGAGAGATGAAGAGAGATACTGAGAGATAGTGAGAGATCATGCTGAGAGATAAAGAGAGATGCTGAGAGATGAAGAGAGATACTGAGAGATAGTGAGAGATCATGCTGAGAGATAAAGAGAGATGCTGAGAGATGAAGAGAGATACTGAGAGATAGTGAGAGATCATGCTGAGAGATGGGGAGAGATGCTGAGAGATGGCGAGGGAAGGAGAGAGATAGAGAGATAGAGAGAGATACTGAGAGATGTTGACCGATGGAGATAGGGAGAGAGAGAGAGAAATAATGAGATATAGAGAGAAATGCTGAGAGATGGAGAGATATGCTGAGAGATGGAGAGATATGCTGAGAGATGCTGAGAGATGGAAAGAGATGCTGAAAGATGGAGAGAGATGCTGAGAGATAGAGAGAGATGCTGAGAGATGGAGAGAGATACTGAGGGATGGAGAGCGATGCTGAGAGATGGAGAGCGATGCTGAGAGATAGACAGAGATACTGAGAGATACTGAAAGATGGAGAGAGATGCTGAGAGATGCTGAGAGATGGAGAGAGCTGCTGAGAGATGAAGAGAAATGGAGAGAGATAGACAGATGCTGAGAGATAGAGAGAAATGGAGAGATATGCTGAGAGATAGACAGAGATGAAGAGAGATATAGAGAGATTCTGAGAGATAGAGAGAGATACTGAGAGATACTGAGAGATAGAGAGAGATACTGAGAGCTGGAAAGCGATGCTGAAAGATGCTGACCGATGGAGAGAGGTGGAGAGAGAGAGAGAGAGAAATATGAGATATAGAGAGAAATGCTGAGAGATGGAGAGAGATCTAGAGAGAGAGATGCTGAGAGATGAAGAGAGATAGAGAGAGATGTTGACAGGGGATGTGCTCAGGTGTGTGTACAGGTGTTTCATACAGGTGTTTACCCGCAGGTACGTCGTCGACGAGACACAGCCCGACCCGCTCATGGACGGAGAAGTCGACTACGAGATCCTCAGCAAGCCGATCAAGCCGGCGCCGCCCGCCCGCATGCCGACCGCAACCCGCGCCGCCGACGCTGTGCCAACGCTCGTCCCTGCGGCATCGTAGTTACTGCGGAGAGCCTCTTCGAACTGCTGAGCTGCGGTGTGTTCGTGCGTGGTTGCTGCTGAGCTGCGGTGGTCTTAGCTAGCGGGGAGGCAAGATGACAGTTGCAGCACAGAGGCCAGAGGAAATAGAGGAAGGAAAGAGGGAGGGGAAGGGAGAGAGAAGGAGGGAACAGAAAGAAACAGGGCATGTGTGTGTCTATATATATATATAGAGGAAGAGAGAGAGAGAGGAGACGAGAGTAGAGAGAGCGAGAGAGAGGAGAGAGAGCGAGAGAGAGAGAGAGGAGGAGGAGGAGAGAGGCAGAGAGAGAGAGAGAGAGAG